TCTTTCACTACTACACATTACAATATTATTTCACACTTCTCAACTTTTTGAGATACTTCACACAGGAAGAAACACCATTATTTATAGGCGAAGAAGTCTTCTATATGACCAATAGGTAGAATGAGGGGTAGTAATATGGGTGGATAAATGTGATAGATGTTACATGAGTTACAAAAACTAATGGCCATATAGGTTACAAGAAACTAATGACCATGAGAGTTACAAGAACTAATGGTCATATGAGTTACAAGACACTAATGAACATGAGAGTTACAAGAACTAATGGTCATATAAGTTACACCAACCAATAGTTATCTTCTACCACAATTTATACCCACTAACATATGCACTTAATGTTTTATTTTAATAATAAAATGCATATACACCAACAGCTAACATCATTATTGGGAATTCTGTGTTCCTTTCCAGCCATCATCTTCAATCTCTTCTTTTTTTCCTTCATTTTGTAGCTGACGAAGTGCAGTTGCTACCTTACCTTTTCAAATAGTTTTAGTTGGTGAATAAGGCAATTTTTTCGGTATTAACACTAAACTTCTTAGGGGTCGTTTGGTAAAAAGATTAATAATGTAGGGATTAGTAATGCAAAGATTAATAGTGTAAGGATTATATGCAAAAATTATTTTTACCAAGTGTTTGGTTCATTGTTTCCCACTTCATCTTGTGTTTGGATTAAAACTTTATAAAAAAACTTCTTTCCAATTATACCCTTGAACTATTATGCAATTGGGTTAAGATAAATAATTGCTGGGAAATATTATTTTTTTATGGCCTTCTACTAGCTATGAAAAGAACAATTTTGTTGCCATGTTTGCCTTTTTTTTTTTTACTTAAATTATTTGAGGATAAATAATTGTCATCTTAGTAAATTGATCACTTATAAATATCAATTTTCAATTTAAAAAAAGATAAACTATCAACTTTTAAAATTGAAAAGATGGTAAACAATAGTAAAATTAAATAAACCATCTACATTTACGCATAAAATTGCAAGTTGTAATTTTAATATTATATATATATATAGTAACAAACAACTCTCTCTAAATAATTTGTAAGCTAATTTATTTAAATAAATTTACTAGCACAACCATAAAACATAGAATCAAGAAAATAAACAAAATAATTAAAATGTTTTGAGGGATATTTTTGTCTTTAGTAGACTTATCCCATGGTATTATATCCCATGTATTACTAATACCTCCAAATGGAAGGTATTAATAATACATCATATAATACCATGTAGGAAGTATAACTAATCCATGGATTAGTTTTACATAGACCCAATTTCCTACCAAACATAGTACTAAATAATACTATCCATAATACATGGACTATTTGTTTTAATGCGGCCTACCAAACGATCCCTTACTGAATAAGTACCGCAAAGTTACGTGCCCAATTAAGTATATTTGAGAAATATAGAAGAGGGAGCTAGGATTTTGAAAGAGGAAGAAATAAATCTTGTGAGAAAATGGAGTTGAGTTCAAATAAAGAGAATAGGGTAGAAAAATTAAGGCTAATTAAATTGTTTAAGAATCTTCCGTTACTTCTAATTCAATAAGGGGATTTTTGGCTCATTTCTCTAACATTAAGGGCATGAATCAAAATATAAACGAACACATTTTTTATCTTTCACATAGTAAAAGAACATTTTTTATACCTTTTCCTTTAATTAATATAATGTGATAAAATAGTCATCATTGTTTTTTTGAGAAGCGTGTCAAATCCAAATCTATATATCTATATTATGGTGAATATAAGATTGTTGATGTGGCACCTCTCAAAAGATAGGATTATTATATATCTTTTTTTTTCTTTTTCTTTTTTTAAAAGAGCTTTTTCTTAGTTTTAATTTGTGTAATATGTTCGAAAAAACAAATGTCATCTCATCTATCTATTAATAAAAGATGAAACGATCATTTTTCACTATTCTTTTGTTTCATTTCGTTACAAATAAATGAATTCAAAAAAATTCATAAATAAAATACAAATAAACATTAGCAATAAGACACCATCATTAATTCCACCTTAAATGACTATTATAACAGATTTGATATGCACTTAAAACTCAGAATTTGAAGCAAAAATAGAAGCAATAGTTACTTTGTGCAAAAGTCCCATCATAAATTTGCAAGGAAAATCGGTCATTTATTGCAATTCCCCAATATTTGTAAATAAAAAATTGATCCTTCTTCCCAAGTTTATACAACATCATCAAACTCAAATCATGTTTACTTTGTGCTACCTTTTTTATTTTTAATCATAATTTTTTTGTGATTATATGCAGTTACATATCATTATTGGCAGCTAAATATCATCACCGAAAATGTCTTTTTTTTTTTGCAGAAAAATCTCAGGTAAAAATTATTTGGATCTCAGCCTGAGATTCTCAGGCATTCGTTTAAGTGGAGCAAGTGAGCACTACAAGTATATTATATTTTCGAATATTTCTATAATTTTCATAAGTTATTCTATTTTTACATGTTTGTTCTATTTGTAGAGTTTAAAGAACATTTCTATCTATAGAGTGTATTGAAGCAAAAGAGATATTTAAAACAATTGGTGAAGAACAAAAGAACAATCAAAGGTGAAAATCTATTTGGTTAGTATTTTTTTCTCCAATGCCAGATGGTTAACACAAAAAAAAAAGAAAAAACGAGCAGGTCGATACTTTTTGTTTTAATTATACTATAACTATACCATCTTAGAAAGAATAATAACAAACCTGAAAAGCGCATTATTAAAAATTTAAAACAGTTTAACATATGAGTTCTTGCTCGTAAAGCATTATCACTCACAAGTATTTCGATATCTTTGACTCATCTATTATTTACCCATAGTTTATTTCTTTCTTCCACCAAATAGAATGTTACCCACACTTTATATGAAAGCTAAAATGTTAAAAATTTATGAAGTATATATATAATACATATACACGCGCGCAAATTTTAGGAGATGGATGAATATTAAAACAATTCTTTATGGTTTATAACATTTAAAGAGTTTTCAAAACAATTAGGATTATAGTTCATAAACTATAGTAGTAAATCAATTTTAAAATTAATAATTAATTTGTAAAATGAGTAATCCCATCGCACGAAGCGAAATTCACTAGTATGACAAGTAAAAGTGAAATTAGCACTCCATAATCTAAACTTAACTGCTAAATTACATCAGATTTGCATTTGTTGCCAACAAATTCATAAGACTAGCATTCCTGAGATGTTCATAAACTTGCATTTACAAAACATATACAGACATTATCACATATTCAACAGAATAATTTTTTTTTAGTACGATATAATATAAGGCACATGCCTAGCATTAGAACAAAAGCTGATAAGGCAAACTTTTACATTAGCTAGTAAGTGTATACATAGTTGTTGAGCCAGAAAGTTGTGCTTTTGACTTAATAGTATTGTTTAGAGGTTAGGCTTAGTCCCTCCTATGTTCCTTTTTGCTAAATACAACACGACCCAGACGACCTTGAGTACCATGTTGAGTAGGACTATCAGTAGGCGTCTTGTGAATCCTTCAGCTTCACGTTAATGCATATGCATTTTCCTACAGATACACTGAGATCTACTGCTGTAAATACAATAGACCATGACAATCCTCGAGGCAACATCATTCTGACGAGATCAAGTTGAAGGCGGCCTTGTAGAGATTGAATTATCTGCATCTCCTCATCAGATTGTCATTATTACTACCTTTTAGTTCTTTTATCTATGGCAAATTGGACATCTTTTCTCTTAACTTTGTTTGGAGGCAGATATTTAAATGTGAGATAAAATTCTCTCATAGGCAACTCAATCGTTTTCATCGGGAGAATCAAAAATAGAACATGAAACAATAAACTGTCAAATAGTTGAGTTTTCCCAATAACTAAAAAGTAATCAAATTCATTTTTCTCTACCAAGAATCAAGCAATCAATCCTAGCTCCTCCAATCTTGTAATTGTTTGCTATTGTTATCAGTGGACATAATTCAATTACTTATAATCTAATTTCAATTAAAATAAAAAATTGCTATGTACATACTTTAGATCCTTGTTCTTCCGTTGCCTGCAGAACCCTAGCCCCCAAACCCCCAGGTAAGTCGTGAAGCACAACAATGTTATTCCCAATGGGCATTTCAAGAAGCATTGGCAGAACTATGTAAGGACATGATTCGACCAACCTGCTAGGAAAACAAGGAGACGTGCTGCTAGACAGCAAAAGGCTGAGAAGATCTTCCCTAGGCCAACAGCTGGTTTACTTCGACCTATTGTTTATGGACAAACACTTAAATACAACATGAAAGTCCGTGCTGGCAGGGGATTTTCTCTTGAAGAACTGAAGGCAGCTGGTATTCCCAAAAATCTAGCACCAACCATATGCATTGCTGTTGATCATCGCCACAGGAACAGATCCTTGGAAGGTCTCCAAGCCAATGTCCAGAGGCTTAAGACCTACAAGGCTAAGCTAGTTATCTTCCCAAGGCATGCTAAGAAGGTCAAGGCTGGTGATTCTAGTGCAGAGGAACTTGCTACTGCCATCCAGGTCCAGGGTCCATACCTGCCTATTACTAGGGAGCAGCCTGCTGTTAACTTTGTGAAGGTCACAGATGAGATGAAATCATTCAAGGCCTATAGCAAGCTCCGCATTGAGCGTAAAAATGCTCGACATATGGGAGCCAGGTTGAAGAGGGCAGCTGAAGCAGAAAAGGAAGAGAAGAAATAAGCAATTGAGAGTCATTCTGTAGTCTGTTAAGCATTATCAACATTCTGCTAGGCGTTGTGGTGAAAGTCTTATCATACAATCATTTTGAGGAACTTATGCTTTTCATTTTATTCGAGGATTTTGTTTTGTTTATGAAATTATGCAAATCTTTTGATTAGCGCAAAATATATAAATACTTTAGATATAACAAGCTAGAACAACAAAATTAAATAGTAACAGAAATTACATGATTTTTGGACAATTAATCTGATCGTACCAGGAAATTTTGACGTTGTCCATGTGTCTCTTCTTTCCATCAAAACTTGACTTGACTTCTCCTGTAGGTTTCCAAATCCCTGGGGCTGCTTTACTAGCAAAAAAATTGTCCTTTTTTCAAAATCTGAGAAGCGATCAAATAGCATGTGTTCTTTGCGCTCTCTGTAGATTTAAAAATTTCAGATGGATTAGCATTATGATTCTATCACAATAATCAACTTCCATAACGTTATGATTATTAGGAAAAGGCTATTACATACCTCACCAAATACTTCATCATCTCCTTGCCGGTTGGGTTCAAACAGCCACAATTACCTTTTTTTTAAGGAAACTGAATCCAAAAGTTGACAAAGATATCAATGAAGTCATGAGTCCATTCAGAGTCACCTACCCAAGAAGTGATTGAGCCTGCCCCACGGATCCCCTTTTTTCAATGGGAGAGGGGTCATGCCGTTGTGTTTTCAACCTCAAATCCTGATTTGAAGTAGATATTCATGGATTAGGAACACATCCAAGTAGCACAAAGTATTCAGGTGGTTGCAGCTCATCAGTCATTTCATTAATCATGGCATCTAAATCAGCAGACTTCTGAAATGCACTTGAAAACTGATCTGACATAGGGATCACATATGTAATAGACTTCTGGTGCACTGACTTTTTACACAGTGAAGTAGTCTGAATATCTACAAAAGCCAAGTTTTCTGACACCAAAATGGCATCAGAAGAATCATTTTGACTTGCAACGCCATTCAAAATATTTAAGTCCTCGGCAACCTGCAGAATAAAACTGTTTCTAATTGAGATGCAGAAGCTCATTGATCATATTTCGGTAAGCATTTGCATCTCGAATTCTACAGGGAAAACATTATCAGGTAAGGGATTGCTTCAACAAAATCTCTCCACCACATATGCTCTTCTAGGGGAGAGAGATAAATTTACACAAATCACAGCAAGTTCAAATATTTACATTGATTATCACGCACGCCTCTTCATGCAAAAGGCTGGTGAAATAATCTTCCAATACACTCTCAAGCAGAGGTTGCATACGATCATTAGCTTCAGGGTCCATTGCATTTACAACACCTTTTTCATCATTAAAAGATGATGAAACTGAAGGCAAATCCACTGTCATATTCATCACAACTGAAAGATTCTTGCTCCATTTGCAACTGCAAAGTCATCAGTCAGTTTGTAAGGCAACACGCACATTGACTGTAAAATGACAGGAAAAACAACAGCATAAGAAAACTTACAACTTCAGTAGAGCGCTCGGCGGTGCAATCTTTAGACGATAAAACTGAAGGCAAATCCACTGTCATATTCATCACAACTGAAAGATTCTTGCTCCATTTGCAACTGCAAAGTCATCAGTCAGTTTGTAAGGCAACACGCACATTGACTGTAAAATGACAGGAAAAACAACAGCATAAGAAAACTTACAACTTCAGTAGAGCGCTCGGCGGTGCAATCTTTAGACGATAAAACTGAAGGCAAATCTATTGTCATATCTTAATTACCATAGCTTTTCTATGAGACCAAAAACATAAAGAGACTTGTAAAACTTAAAATAACCTTCTAAGTGAGGCAAATAGGTATTCATAGAGAAGCAAATGTACCAACAAAATCAAGTAGAAGCACTAACTAACAGTGAAACAATTAGTTCAGAAACCTAACTAAAAATTAAAAGCAACAATTTAGAGTCTATGAAAGTCTCACGTACCTTGTAGGATTGAATCCTTGGCGAATTCCACAACCAAAATCACAAGAACTTGACGAATCTTAAGTTTCTCTTCTTCTTTCTCCTCTTTTCTCTTCTCTCAAAGTCCTAGTGTATTTCTTAATTGCGTAAACTGAACTAACTCAGTTTAGACCCCAATTAATTTACTAAAAACGGATTTAATTAATTGGGTAAGGAAAAGACTAAACTACCCTTCAAAAATCCGGATTAGACTTTCCTTATTTGAACAACCCAACTTCAAATGGGCATATCTCACTCATACAAACTCGGAATCGCGCAAACTCGGCAGCGTTGAAAAGATTATTCCAAGATCTTTCCTACGATATCTGGAAACACACCTAACTCATGCTGAGCTAGGAGTTATGGTCGCTTGAAGTTGGCCAACAACTCAACTTAACATACTTAAAAATTTCCAGATTTTTATATTCTTTTCCAAAAGTGATTATTTCCAATTTTTAACTTCTTTCTAGTTCTTTCAATTAGCGAGATGTTACAATATCTCCCCCTTGGGAACATTCATCCTCGAATGAGATTACTCTTATTAGGCTAAGGGTGTAACATCTAACATTCAGCTCAAACACCCAACAAGCAAAACAATTTCAACATGCTAACTTATAAATGAAAGAGTACTAAGAATAGAATTAGTACCTTGGTCTGGAACTTCTCCGGTTTCAAAGAGATGTGGATATCTCTTTTTCATATCCTCCTCAGCTTCCCAAATAGCTTCCTCAACAAATTGGTTCCTCCAAAGGACTTTGACCGATGCTACCTCTTTTGTCCTCAATTTGCGAACTTGGCGATCTAAAATTTGAACCGGAATCTCTTCATAAGTTAAGCTATCCTTGATCACAATATCTTCAGTTAGTATGATAAGTAAAGGATCTCCCATGCACTTCTTCAACATGGAAATATGAAATACCGGATGAACCGCTGCTAACTCTTGTGGTAGCTCCAATTCATAAGCTACCTCCCATCCTTTTGGCGATTCAATAAAGTCAAATATACCGGGGTCTAAGCTTCCCCTTCTTACCAAATCTCATTATGCCCTTCATGGGTGAAACTTTTAAATACACCTAATCATCTATTTCAAACTCTAACTCTCTTCTCCTAACATTAGTGTAGGATTTCTGATGACTCTGCGCTGTTTTCAACCTCTCCTGAATCACTTTCACTTTCTTCATAGCTTGATGAACTAAATCAGGTCCTATCAACCCTGCTTCACCAACTTCAAACCATCCAATAGGAGATCTGCATCTTCTTCCATAAAGAATTTCATAAGGAGTCATTTGGATGCTAGAGTGGTAACTATTGTTGTAAGCGAACTCGATGAGAGGTAGGTGATCATCCCAATTACTCTTGAAATCGATCACGCACGCCCTCAACATATCTTCGAAGGTCTGAATAGTTCGCTCTGCTTGCCCATCTGTCTGAGGATGAAACGCGGTACTTAAGTTCACCTTTGAACCCAAGCCTTTTTGGAATGACTTCCAAAACTGTGCAGTAAATTGCGCACCTCTGTCTGAAATAATGGAGACCGGAACCCCATGAAGTCTCACCACCTCTTGAAGATATAACTTAGCATAATTTTCTGCTGAATGAGTAGTCTTTACCGGCAAAAAGTGGGCTGATTTTGTCATTCTATCGACAATCACCCATATAGAATCATGCTGCCTGCGAGACCTTGGTAAACCTGTGATGAAATCCATATTAATCATCTCCTACTTCCATTCCAGAAGTTCTTTGAGCCAACCCACCGGGCCTTTGGTGCTCTATTTTAACTTGTTGTCAATTTGGACACTTAGCAACAAACTCTGCAATGCCCTTCTTCATACTACTCCACCAATAAACTTCTCTCAAATCACGATACATCTTTGTCGAACCCGGATGAATGTAATATCGGGAGCTATGAGCTTCCTCCATGATCCTCTCTTGGAGTTCATCCACCATTGGTACACACAACCTACCTTGATACCTCAATACACCATCTCCCCCTTGTTCAAAAGCTAATACTTTTTGCTTATGAACATTTGCCTTCAATTCAAGCAAAACTGGGTCTTGATCCTGCTTTTCTTTCACTTCTGACACTAAGGATGATTCAGCACCATTCATCACCACTACTCCTCCTTCTGTGGAATCCATTAGTCGGACTCCTAAGAGTGCAAGTCTATGCGCATCCTTCGCTAACTCTCTCTTTTCTTCCTCAACATGGGCGGTACAACCCATAGACAACCTGCTCAAGGCATCATCGACAACATTAGCCTTACCTGGGTAATAAAGAATACTCATGTCATAATCCTTGAGTAATTCTAACCACCTCATTTGTCTGAGATTAAGCTCTTT